GCTAATTTTTTGCAGATTGCGAAACCTATCCTCCGCTCCAAAGAATACACCAAATTTGAAAGTTCCGATGAAGCCGAAGTTACGAATTTCGAAATAGTTCACGTGTGGATGCTTGCGCTTGAAAAGAATGTGGTGAGTATACAATGTAAGAGCGACAATGTTCATGGTAATATCCTTCTACTTAGCTTTATCCACTAATGACCATGGCAGTGCTCACAGAGAGTGGATGGCATTTACCTTGGGCGAGTGTTGTAGCACCTCTTATTGGGCTTCGCCTCCTGCGTGGAGGTTTTACTCATCCTCAGCTTCTCTATGCACCCTTGGCGGTCGCATTCATATTGTCTCGTTTTGATTGGAGAGAAGATCTACCGTTTAGCCTTTACGATAAGGTTTGTTTTTTTTTAAATCAGCTCAGCATCTTGTGAACTAGTTTTCTAGATATCGTCTACAGCCTCATTTCCTCTCGTACTCTATGTGTTTATTATACTGTATCCGAAATGGATTGAGCTCTATCTGAAGATGCGCTTTATCATGGCATTTGCCGCACCATGGCAATACTATCGTTCGGCCGGTCGTGCATTCAATACGTTCATCGCGGTAGGCTGGCTGAACTGCGATTAGCGCGAAGTCGCCGCAGAACGTTTTAAAAAAAGTTTTGCAATAAATCATCATAGGGATAAGATTTTCTGCACATCTCTTTGAGGGTTTTGCGGTCGGGCGTATCGAAGCAGCATTTCCAGCTCAGTTGCGACAGCTCAAGCTTTTTCAGCCACTCGGACTACCTCATTCTGCTCTTCTCATTGTGCAAATGATTGTTTCGAGTATCCTGAGTGCACCATTGATTCCTTTTCTGGGTAAGATTTTGAGAACATATGTAACTGTGAGAAAGGTAATCAGCATGCCACGGACCACGAATGCAAACGAGCTTGTGGCTTAGCCATTACTCGACTCGTGCAACAAATAAGCCCTAAACTCAGCGTACAGAAAGAGTTTGAGGTTTCTCGATTTGTGGTCTTGAAAACTGCCACTGTTGTTCACTTTTGTTGGAAGATAGATAAGGTCTCATAGGCAGCATTCGGCCAAGTATGACGATCACGAGGAAACGTGAAGTGCAGTAACGCTCATCCTGACTAAGGTATCCCAAGTGCCATTGCAGCAATTTCAGCAGCGACCACTCCAAAAAAACCCCCTCTTGTAGCCACGTTGCCGTTGCACTGAAAGCCAGAGCGCACACAGTACACAACTCTGCGTCTTGACCATGACGACAACTTCCTAATGCAAATTAAGGACTCCCTTGGAGTAGCCCTGTTTAACTGCTTTTGCCTTCTCCGAGCTTATTCTTGGAATCGCGGAATTGACCATTCTAGGCAAGCTGAAACTCTCGCACTAGTCGGCATTTTGCCCTGACGCTGCCTCTGAATGACTACCGAGCTCACCTATAACCACGCCTGCTACTAGCAGCACTATCCCTTTGTCGCAAGAAACATCCGCACTGCAGAGTGCTTGCAAGTGTTGTAATTTGCCTATTAGCAATAACAGAGCTAATTACGGTTCCATAGAGTTACTAATGGAGTGTAGCCTTAGGCCTTAAATTGACATTTCGGGATTTGACAGAACGTCCAATAAACTACAAAGAAATGTTCAAGTTCGACTAATGCACCATGTGCAGCACAGATAAAATACTATTTAAGGCTCATGCTTCTTCATCGCATCATATGCTCGTCCGGTGAAGTTTTGGGAGCGAGGTTACAATACGAGACATAACGACGCATCTAACACTGCAATGGGTAAGCCATCTTGAATCACAGAATGATGATAATGGGAAAGTTTAGCATGGCAAGTCGATCGTGAAGTGCGGGACGACAGCAATCTGAATGCGGTGTTTTATGAGCATTTGACTAGGTATGGTTTCTTGGCGGTTTTCCAATGCGAGCATTCTTTTGCAGGAGTCTGCAAAAGAGTTTGGCTGGTGATTTGCAAATGGGTAGGTGGGCAACGAGTGTACAGCCAGGTGACTACTTCATACTCACAAGGTGAATTTCCTCTTCAGGCTAAATTCTTAACAAAAGCACTACAAACGTTTTAGTTTTTACCTAAACTGCCTGGTGCACATAATCGAGGTGGGAAATGGATTTGTCACTTTTCAGCTGAGAGGGCTTGAATTTCGTGGTACCTTCTGCCATCAGCGTGAGGTAATCACTTTCAGTTTTTGATTTTGTGCGAAAGTCAACTATCAACTCTATAGCTGTAGTCGGACTCGTGTCAGGCTGGTTTGCAGGTTCAGGAGAAGGTTCTCAGATAGCAATTTTTTGCGCATTTTTCAAGACTTAGCGCACGAATTGGCGGGTTGCCACGGTGTACTTGGGGCGTCTACTACCGGAAACTACCAAAATCCGAGAAGGGTCCATTCTGCCTGTCC